TAAAAAGCCATGACCAGCAGAGATTCCTGATGAAGATAAAGAAAACACAGAATAGACAGTAGGAAAAAAGTAGTTACAAATGTTATTTATTATAATAATAAATATATGTTATAATATAAATGTTATAACATTATAGAAATATATGATATTATTATAACATTATAGAAATGTTATGATGCTATTATAACTTCTAGAAATGTTATGTTATTATAACATTATAGAAATATTATTTCTATGTTATTTCTATAATATTATAGAATTGAGGAGTATAATTGTATATCCTCTGTATTTTGTTATGAGTAGGTTTGTATGCATATATGTACATATATATTCCTATACTAAGCATATATCTTTGTTTTCTCTTTTATTCCTTCATCAATGTAATATTATTTATTCTATATTAATTATTGTTAATGTTACATTATTCTATTTAAGTTATAAGACATCAGGTAGACGGTAAACATCACTCAAGGACTTTATTTCCTCAACTGAAGAAGGAATAAGTAGGTCTTTTTTGTGTAGTATATAAAGTGGTTGTATCATATTAGTCAGAGTTATGACCTTATTACTAATTTTATTTGGAAGTTTAATATGATTTAATTAGATGAATATGGGTGCCCAATTGATAAGGGGTTGGCTTAATTAATTAATTTTAAATGTCAATATTACTAGACTAAAGGAAGGCCAGATAACTTGGAAAATATTATTTCTGGTGTGTCTGTGAGAATGTTTCTGAAATAGATGAGCATGTGAATTGTTAGACTGAGTAAGGAAGAGCACCCTCACTAATGTGTCTATAATCCAATCCATTGAATGGAACAAAATGGGAGAGAAAGTGTGAATTTGCTTTTGTTTTGTGCTAGACTATCCATCTTTTCTTGGCCTTGGACATCAGATACTCTTGGACTTGGACCTGGAATTATGCCATCACCTTCCCTAGTTCTCAGGATTTCCTAGTTTTCCCAGTTCTATGGCTTGTAGATGGCAGATCATGGGAGTTCTTAATCTCCATAATTCTATAAGCGAATTCTGATAACAAATCTTTCCAGATAAATATATAGATATGCTATTGGTTCTGTTTCTCTGGCACATCCTGAGACAGGTTAGAGGAATCCAAACCTCCCTAATATCATTTTGTTAGTAGACAACCATTAAAATATTAACACTAATGGTGGGTCTTTATTGTAAGATTCTTTTCCTTCAAATAGGCTAAGCTATTGGTCTCTCGGTCACATAGGCATTCTGACCGACAGTTGTTAGACTCTTCTTTTGTGACTGGCTTCCTTGAGAGGGGAATTGCCAACCAAGCAGCCCATCTTTTGGTGACTGTCATTTTGACAGCTGATCTGCCTTGAACTCTTTAGGGATGACTTGAGAAAGCTATACTCCAGCTGCAAGGAACACTGCAGCCTCTGCTGTTGGTCACTTCTGCTTCAAAAGGCCTGGCTCCAGTCACAGTTGCTTCAGACACATTGTACCAGCCTTGGAAGGAAGTCCAGTCATGATAAACCACAGTGAATTTTAGATGACCCTGAAGCTATTCTCAGTCAATATGGGAAGGGGAACATCTCTTCAGTAACCTAGTAAGAAGCCAGTGATTTTTGCAATGTGAGAGTTTTGACCAGTCCTTATGCAAGCCTATGATTTCTCCCTCTATGAGGCCTGTGATTAATTGAACTGGAACCTGTGCTATTATTGGTGCAAATATAATCCTTCATATGCCTGCCACAGCCATGTTACACACTCTGTCCTGGCCTTATAACCAGGCTGTTCAGCTCACTTTTTGAGTCACCAGAAGGCACCCTTCTGTGCTTCCCACAGTGTTGAATAAAATGCTTATCCTGAGTGATCTTTTCTTGTTTCCTTGAGATCTTTACCATGGGTAGAACAGACTGAACTGATTACATGAGAAGAGGTGATAATGGAGACAGTGGCAGGAGCTATAGGACCAATACTGATAAGCATTGAGGTGGCTGAAGCGTTCCATAGAGGAGCTGGGGACAGAAACACTGCAGAGCAGAGACAGTGAAACAAGAAAAGGGTAGCAGAAGGAAGCAAGATGGGGTAGAGAGTCAACACTGAAGAATATGGAAGGCTGTGAACAGTTGAAAATAAAAGACTGATCTCCTGTCATTGAGAGAGTTCCTGAGAAAGTTCTTACCTATACCTACTAACTCCTGAGAAATTCCAAGTGCTAAGGGCAGAGGGTCCTAATACCCAAGTTCTAAAAGCTGTAACAGTAGCTGCTCTTAGGGGCTAAGGGGACTGACACTGAGAGCTTGAAAGCCATAACACATTGGTCATCCACTGTTGCGAGTGTTAGTTGTTGCTATGGACTGTGGATTTTGTCACTGAGTATAGGCCAGTGACAGTCAAGATACAGAATAGCAAGTCTCTGACCTGAGTACCAAGAGCTAAAAGTTTCTGACATCTAGAACTTGGAGCCAAAAGCCTCTAGTTCTCAGGATCCAGAGCCCTAAGCCTCTGGAACTGCTGATTTAGTAAATGGGTCATTGGCACTCAAAAGCCCAGAACTGCAACACTGAAGAGGCTTCCCTTTGCCTATTTGAGATTTCCATCTTGATAAAGCAAAAGAAACTGAGTCAGAAGATTGATAACATCCTGACTAAATACATAATGTCTCTATTGTCTAGAGACTATAGCTACAATATTACAAAATGAAGCATGGTGATTAAGAACAAAGTTTTTAGAAAAGGGTAGACCTGGACTTAACTCACAGCTCAGTGTCTTACTAAGTGTATAACCTTAGATGAGTCACTTAACCTCTATTAGTCAGTATCCTCACATTTAAAATAGTAATGATGACAATATCTACCATAAATTATAATTTCTAAGTAACTTGAATCAGAGACATTTAATAAAATGTCTTGAATATTAAAAGTATAAAATAAATACAAAAATTCATTATTGTTATTATGAATATAATTATAATTATTAATTCATATTGTTATTTTATTATTACAATAAAATTTGATTAATAGGTGCAGCAAGTTTTTTGTTAAAAGAAATATATTTAGTGTCAACAAGGAATGAGTTAAGAGCATCTGTTATCTTAAAGCTAGAAAATGTTTCCTTAATCCTATGTACTCACTAAGATTCCATTTACACAGTGACGTTAATGTCATCACACCATGAATTTTCTTTTAACTGTTTCCTTTTTTTCTTGTTTTTCCTTCAACTTAGAATATTCTTTATTCAGCACCACACATGCACAGGTGAATGTGTGTGCATCACCAAGTAAAAGTACTTCAAGTTCATCACTGGTAGGGAGGCCAATCTGACCATGAAAGGTTCTTAAACAAAGTAGTACAGCATTCATATCTACATTTTAAGAAATAACACAGTCAGCAGTAGGAAAAGTAGTTTGAATGTATGGAATGATGGAGGTAAGAGAAAAAGTTTTAGCTATATTAATTTTAGAGGTTTTGATTATATCTAGGAAAAGATTACATAACACAAAATTTAAAAGTAAAGTTGTATAAAAAAGCAGAATAATCCATTTATACAATGGATAGTCATGTGCACTGGTTCCGTAATGACACTACACTTAAAAAAGGAAAATCAAAGTAGTCAGCCATCTAGTAAAATAATACTATTCCTCATATTTTTAAAAGAACATTAAAAATTTATTATTAAGCTGGATGCTGGTGGCTCACATCTATAATCCTAGCTACTCAGGAGGCAGAGATCAGGAGGCTTGGGGTTCAAAGCCAGACAGAGCAAATAGTTCATGAGATCCTATCTCGACAAACCCTTCACAAAAACAGGGCTGGTGAAGTGACTCAAGGTGACGGCCCTGAGTTCAAGCCCCAGTACTGCAAAAAACTGTTAAAAACAACATTATTTCTTGACTCTCTTTGCCATGTTTCTCTCATTTTCTTAAGCCAAGTATTTTTTTGAAGCAGTTTTTTTTATTTAGCATTTCTGCACCCACAACCTATAGTTTTTTGCTTATTTCCCTGTCCTTCCCTGCTTATTATTAAATAATATTAGCTGTTTTAAACATAAGACTGGCAACTTTACTGCTCTCTTTCCATACAATATTAAAGTATCATAAGATTTAGGGATGAGGATGAGGAGAAAGTTGTGGCACAGAAGTAAAGAAATTAGGCTGACAGCTACAGAATTTGTGTTGGTGCAGGAGGGAGGGATAAAAATTCACCAACGTTTACACAATAATAAGCTTTGTCCTATCCAAACTGAAGCATGGGTCCCAAAACAACTACTCTTTATAAAGTATGTGTAACAAGACAACTCAGCAACAGAAACCATCTTCAATGTGGTATAATAAAGAAAAGTCCAGGATCCTCAAAGTCAAGGAAGGAGGGAGCTTGAAAAATGAATTATTGTTCATTATCTGAACAATAATTATCTGAAATAATAAAAATTTAGGATGGTGATGCTATTTATTAATTCAACAGATACTAATTATATTTATTACATAATATTATGTATAATGCATGTAATCCGAGGTTAAACAAAGATTAAAATTTTCTTTCATCATGAAAACAACTGACTATATGATGTATAACTTAGATAGATTGCTTACTGATCAATACTTAAATACTGAATTTACAAATCAGGGTTATTATTCAGCTATATACACTTGTGGCACCATGCAGTGAACTTAGTCTTATGAACATGACTTTCAATTACCAGGTCTTACAAAGAAATTTTTTCTCGTTATTTTGTTGCTTGTTTTTGTGGTACTAGAATTGATTCTAGGGCCTTACATGTATTAAGCAAGCATTCTACCAACTGAGCTATATCTGTAGCCCCTCAAATATATGTTTCAATTGTGTTAAAATTAAAGTGTTTGCCCAGGTAATTTCCACCAAATGAATTTACCTCCGTTAACTTGAGTGGCATAAAGTTTAATTAGCAAAGTTAGATCTAAAACTATGTTGAATTAGATAAAAATTTAAAAGAAGCTATTGAATATAGATAGCTTCTATTGAATTTTGTATATTAGGGATCTTTAGGAGACAAGTTTCAGTAAACGTTTGATGGTAAAAGATAGATTTCTGAGAGTTAAAGATGAAGAGAAACCAGCAATTTATATATGTATATATATATATTTCCAAGTAAGAGATCTTACCTGAAGTCCCTGCTCTTATGAAAAAAAGATCCTAGCTTGATCCATGTGCTTTTTGATAGCTTCTTTTATCTCTTTATTCCTCAGGCTATAGATAATGGGATTGAAGAAGGGGGATAAAACTGCAAAGGCCAGGGCAATAGCTGTATCCCAGAACAAGGAGTAGGTGGCAGAGAAGCGTAGATACATGAGAGCCACACTACCAAAGAAGAGCAAAAAGACTGTGAGGTGGGAGACACATGTAGAAAATGCTTTGCGACGGCCTTCAGCTGAATGAATACGTAGAATCACAGCCACAATACCAACATAGGACATGAAGATGAGCACCACTGCTGTAATAATTTCTACTGCATGGACAATATCTACCACCTGAATCATGATGATGGTGTGTATGTCTGTGCAAGCGAGGCGCAGCACTGGGAGGAAGTCACAGAAGATATGCTCAAGTTGATTGGAGCCACAAAATGGCAGTGTGGAGATCCAGGCAATCTCAGGAAGGGGTGTGATAAAGCCACAAACACAGCAAACTAAAGTCAGTTGGGCACACAGCTTGGGTGTCATGATAGTGGGATAATGAAGAGGGCTACAGATGGCCAGGTAGCGGTCAAAGGCCATAGCTGTTAAGAGACAAACTTCACTGATGCCTGTGGAATGGAAGAAATACATCTGTAGGAGACAGCCATTTAAGGAAATACTCCTTCTTTCACTAATCAGGCCAGAGAGCATCTTTGGGATGGTGGCTGTGGTATACCAGATCTCCAAGAAAGAAAGAGCACTGATAAAGAAGTACATGGGAGTGTGGAGGTGAGTATTCAGCTGGACTACTGTGATGATAACCAGGTTTCCAACAACAATGAAAGCATAGACGAAGAGCAGTGGAATGAAACAGATGACAGAATCTCCCCAGGAACAAGGGAAAGCAGAGAAGATAAACTCTTGAGCAGTGGTCCAATTGAGGCTTTCCATCTCTAAGTGGGAAGTAAGGTTTTTAACTCCTAATGCACTTAAGCCTGCTAGAAAGTGTCTACTCTAGGTCTGAGAGTAAATACACTTACCAAAACCAAGAATCTTGGTAAATCCATGTATGGGAAATGAAGAGGAAGAAAATGAAAAATGAAATGTCTACACTCCATGCTTGATTACAACTAAAGTTGTAGTAAGAAAAAAATACAGTGAGAAAACACAACCAATATTTTGAACCAGTGATTCTCAACTATTAAAATGAATTAAAATTAGAATTAGAATTAGAATTACTGGGAGGCCTTGTTATGACTCTCTATACTGAGAGTTTCTAATTCATTAGGTCTCATATAGATCCTGAAAATGTGCAGGTAATGTTGCTCCTGTAGGTCAGAGGACCATATCTTAAAACCATTGTGCTTAAACAGCAAGGCAATGAGTGAATAGCAAATAATTAAAGTGGGGTGCTCTTATTCAGATTCAAATATTATTGATTTCTTAATAATATCCCACAACTGTTCCAAAAGTCTTTTTTCAAGCTGTCAGCTCACCTGATTCTTAGCATCTGATTTGATGGATTATTTTAATAATAAAGATAAACCAATCACTAGTGAATTCTGCTCTTCTGGCCTGTCTTCCTCTAAACAAATTACCCTGTCTCATATGGTTCTTAATAATGATTCAAAGGAAAAAAAATAATGATTCAAAGGAAAAAAACTCAACCAATGTTTTCATTCTATTTTATCTTCTTTATAGAAGACCACTGTACCTCCTCCTATACTTTTTCCATCTCTGGATGGAAGTTATTTTATACAAGAAGTGTTTGTTCAAATGAAATAATTCTTAGAAACTGAAAATATTAGCTATAAATGGAGAACAGTTCTAGTAGAATTGTATGGAGTAGTTCAATGGGAAGGTAGAGATACAGAGTTTGATGGAATGCGAGTTAAACACCATATATACTAGGACATATCCTAATAATTTTTTCCCATTTCACAATTATTTGTCTTACTTACCTATTTATTTCTTCTCTTCTGTTATCAAATATGTTCATATATTATTATCTTGGGGGTAAATAAATCTGTTTTTTAAATTTTCTCTCCTTTGTATCAACATCTTTTTCTAATGTTTAATGAATATTTATTTTCTTCATTTTCCCCCTAAATTTCTTTGCATAATCTATCCTAAACTTTATGTACTCATTGCCACTTACCTCCCAAGGTCAATTGACCAATCCTCAAAAATGTCTCCTTTCTTTGAGTATGGATACCATACTGTTCTAGATTCTCTCATTGGCTATTGTTCCATTTCTTGTTATCCTACTATGGAGATAACTCAAAATTCTGTCTTCATTTGTCTCTTCTTTTTTCTATATTCCTTTCCATATAGAAGTAGCATTTACTTTGAGATCTCATTTATTCAAGATTATCAATTGTCTTCTAAATAAACCTTGCTCTTTCCTGAGTCCCATATTTTCTTCATAGCTCCCCCACTTATAAGCCTTACCTTGGCCTATACTTTCTAACCCTGAGTTATGTCACTCTCAAAACTTGTATGCTGAATTTCTAATCTTCAGGATTTCTGGGTGTAACTGTATTTAGATGTAGTCTTTAAAGAGGTAAATAAATTAAAATAACACCATTAGGGTGGATCCTACTTCAGTATGACTGGTGTTCTTAAGAGATTTGGATATAGCCAGTTTCAGAGAGAAGACCATAGAATCTTAGTACACCTTCTGTATCACCTTACTATTAACACTCAATCAGTTTGCCTTGCTAACTTTCTTATTTTTCCTCTCACCTACATACCAGCTGTACTCATTTTGATATCTATTATCCTCTCAGTTGCCAAACAAAATGAATCATCTAGGTCAGTTTAAATTAATTTTCTTGTTTTATCAATAATATCTTTTATTTCCACTATCTTTGTCCTAATTGGATCCCTGGTCATAATGCTTGCAGTATTGTAATACACTTCCAAAGATCTCTACTTGAATTTTATTTTTCTCTACACAAGCCTCCATTGTCTAAAAATCAATCAGTGTTCTCATGTGGATCCCTTTCTACACTATTCTTAAATTTAATTTTTTTTATCTTTATCTTCTTCTGAACCACCCTTTTTTTAGAAAAGAAATCACTGCTAGGATCAGTTTTTTCTATTCACTGAATCAAGAAATAATAAACTCCTTTGCATTAATAACTGTCTTACTTTGTGTATACTATAGGAAAGAACACTTAATTGTCTATTTGTTGAAGCTATTTTCACCTATCTCAACTTTACCCATTTTTATACCTACTGTCTCCTCGGTTCCCAAATCAAATTAATCATTAAGTTCTGTTTATTTTTTCTTGCTATATCAATATGTTTTATTTCTATTATATATATCTGTCCATTTATTAACAGATTGAGTCTCCATCAAACTTGTTTTATTTACACACAATAGCAAGCATCACCTTCTTTTAATACTATGCTGAATTTTTTTGCTCTTTTCTATAGAAAACAAAGCCACCTACCTCCTGTTGCTATGACAACTGTGCTATTTGCCAATTCAATTTAGTTAAAGTGTTATTATTTCACACATGTAGTTTACATTTTGTGGGCTCTAAACATCCCTAAGAAGAATCTTTTCTCTCTGAAATATTGCCTTCTTATTTCCCTTCCAATCTCTGCTCCATTGTTTTCTAACCAAGTTCTACACATTTCGTCCAATTTTAACAAGCTAGTATCACATGTCTCTACACTCTATTTCTTTTCCTTGCTATATGCATGTAGTATGTGGGTGTTGGAGTGACTGCATGTGGGTATACTCTGGAATTTATATCACTATATTCACCTATATATTATATACTTGCATTCATTCTTTTAAAATATTTTTCTTTTTAAGTTTTCTTAATTTTTCACATACATACCTGATCTCTCCTACAAGTCTTGATGTCCCCAACAGTCATGAGCACAGCTCCTAACTATGGGCCTCAGAAAAAACTAGTTCAAGTATGTGCCTTCTGAACAGAGTGATGCCTTTCTCATGCTGTCTCTAGAGATGCCATTAAGCCTAAGATAAGGAGAATCTGAGCAAAAAGAAAAGGCATTAATCTTTGCCCACTGAATCCTTTGCTATCCTTATCCAAAATTAAGCAATGATAAGTCTAATACAGTTGTCGGTGACATTGACTGCCCAATATCTAGATGAAAGTCTCATCTGATTCCTGGAACATATTTCTGAATCACTTCAGAAATCAATCACAGTGCTCATTGTGATTTTAAAGCAATCCTTTGATCTTGGCCTTACTTACATCTTACTCATTTCTGGGGAAATTTAGTAATCAAAACCTTTGTACTTTGTACTAACTTGTCCTAGAACATTCTTTCCCTACTTCTCAAAACTTTTCCAAAGGTTACTCACAGTTTCTACAGGCCTATTGGGACTGTCTGTTACTCACTTGTGTTGTTCTTTTTCTGGATATCAGCTATTACCAAAATTAGTTAATTCAGTGACCTTGCTGATGTTGGGCTCCAGAATTGGAATAATCATGAAGACCGTGTCTTTACCTACTCTAATGTGGTCATTAGAACTGCTACACAAAGACAAAAATTCCCTTGCTCTTTTGCCTCGTTTCTACCCTTAGTTCTCTATCTAAAGTAAATTTCCTTCCTTTCCTCAGTGAGTGATCTCTCTCTCTCACTTTTTCTCTCTCTCTCCTTCTCCCTTTGTATATGTGTTTTTGTGCACTTAAGTAGAATGCTAGAATGGCGAGACAGACTCTTGTGGGAATTCTACACAAATGATTCAAGATAAGTAGAAAAACAACCATCCTCATAATGACTCCAATTAGGAGAAACAGTTTATGCTAGTAATTAAAAGAACTCCAATCCCAAGGAAGTCCAGTTCAGTACAAATGAGATAGCTTGGAAGCTCTAGGAGTTGTAATAAATTTACTTTTTCTTATTTATCTATTAATTTATTTACTAATTTATTTATTTATACTTCTCTTTCTGTGGCACTTCTGGTTGGATTGACTTTTAAATTAATCAAAATTATAAAAAAGGTTAAAAGGATATTGGACAAATAAGGTGAGGAGATCCAAGGAACGGTGACATAAAGTAGCCAAGGTTGTACTCCGTTGGTTCCTGAGTCATTCAACTTAATTCAGGAAACATAATTGGCTTCTTATATGTTCCATCTACTTATTTCATATTGAAGTTTATGGCAAGTATTTTAGCTGATAATACTGAATTTTCTCCTATTTTGCTTCTTTTGTGCATAGAAGTCAGAGAGTTTTCTAGGAAGAATAATGGCCAGCAGGGAATTCTCCCAAAGACAAGCAAATTAGCAGTGTTGTATGCCACTCCCATGAAGATTATTTCCATTCTACTCTTAACTTTCATAGAATTGATTTATAAGGGTTATATTTTTCTGAATAAATTCAAATTGTATATATTAAGTGTTTGAAGAAAATAGTATTTAAACTGAATTCTGTTTTTGGTCTCTTTAGGGGTGTTTGAATTTATAAGTTTATTTTTAATTGAAAGTTTTTGGTTTTTTTTTTTTAAATCTCATTTATCCTTTTATGATTTACTCTAGAGTGTTTGGAAGTAACTTTGTTTTCAGGTTACAAGACATTCTATTCTCTCCTCAAATTTCTCCTGCCCTGTGATATGGAATAAGCTCTTTTTCAAAAAGTCTTACTTCCTTTATTAAGAATAACAAATAAAAGCCCAAATATGACTTTTAGGAAAATAAATTACATTTTTTTTTCATTGAGTATTAATTCATACAGGAACTGATAGCTAGAAAGATATTTTTCTAAAAATCATGGGTACATATGGAAAATTTCAACCAAATGATAACATTGTATTAGAACAGACAACAGTTTATTAACATAAACTAACACAACATTATAACTAAGATATGTTTTACAATGGTATCAGTTAGGGGTTCTCTTAACATATTTGATCCTGTTTTTTCTCATGGCTGCAAAATCAGGCATTATTTTCACACTCATGGCAGAAAATTATGTGACTGGGAGACAATTAGGAATAGTTA